CTTAAGTAAGTCTTTTTGAGCCCGAGAAACCTTGTTCTCTGTTTTGTTCCAGAAGTCTGAGAACTCTTTTAAATCTGTGTCAAAAGAGTCATATGAACGCCTGATTGTCACTATGTCTTTAAAATATTTCATTGCGTATGAGCAAATTAGGGAAGTCTCTGTGGCCTGTGAGGCCATGAGTGCAAAAGGGTGGTTTAATTCGCTCATAAGTGGTTCGACTTGACAAAGAATTAGCGACCGGAAGGTTAGTTTTGTCATCCGATCATATCCAATAATACCTCTAACCTTCAACCATTCTAACCAGCCAGACTGACGCTGTATTTCCAACTGTTCTAACTCGCTGCGCGCAGCTGTCCTCCTAGTTGACCAGTAGTACTCAGAAAAAGGGTCGTCCCCCATTGATTTTTCAACTTCTTCAATAATGGCTAATAAAGATTTTTCTTTCCATGACCGAGCTGCTACTTTCATCCTGGAAAATCCCTCCATAGCTGCCTGGATAATACAGATTTCAGTATCTGCCTAGTCCTCAACACTATGGAACAGATCTCTGACCCTATCCCAGTCTTTCACTTGCGTGGAGATCCAAGAGGGAATCGCTGGATCTTTCATAATTTTTACGTTTAATCTGAATGGTGGTTTATACTTGTCAATGACTTCTTTTGCAATAATGTCCATCACTACCGGGTTGTGGTCAGACATAGATCCATACATCAGATCTGCCCCAATATAACGGTCCCAGGGGGAACCACGTGCAAAAATTACATCCAAATTTTTTTTTGGTTGAAGGGCTCGAGGGGATGGTCTGGGGCCATGCTAAGTATACCCTGATGATTCGGGATTCAAAGTCCGGTATGTGTCTGTGAGACCCTGGGAATTGACAAATTCAAAAAGTAATTGCTAGTCACTTCTTAGGGGCTCCGGTCGTGGAGAGTCAAGTCCTGGGGTGAGAACTGAGTTTCAGTCTCCCGCCAAAATCAGGTTTTCGGTATCTGGAATAAATCTTTGTAAATTCGCAAAATAATCGATACGGGCTGGGTATTCCACTTATGCATAGATTGACATAACGACCCAGTCTTCATCCTCGACAACTATTTTGACCCAGGCCCAACGACCCTCCGTATCAGCACAATTGTCCAGTACTTCAACATCTAAATCTTTATTTATAAGCACTGCAACCCCTCCCTTCGAACCATCTGCAGGAGATCAGACTTGCGGGCTCATCCACCATCTTTGGGCCTCAATGATTTTTACCACATATAGTTTAGTCTTTTGAAGACAGATAATATGAGTATTTTTCGAGTGAATCCAAGAGGAAAGACGACTCTTTTTGAATGTGTTATTGGAGTCACCTAACCCACGCACATTCCAATTTGCTATTCTAATTTTGTTGGGAAGAACCATTAAGAGGATCATTGCCGCTACTATATTGGATTCGGCCATTTGAGTCCAGCCCCGCCCCCGTTTCTGCTGGAATGGGCTGGCCCTGGGGTGCAGGGAGCACCTTTTTTGCAATTTCAGCCTGGGTTTTGAATATCAGAGCTCTGACGGATGCAGCCTGTATCAACCGTAAGTTGTCAGAGTATATTAGTCAGTCCACTACCACCTGGGCTGTCAATGATTCGGTCAAATTTACGCTTTTCAACATTTTCGAGTGGGGGGTAGAGAAGTGGGAAATGTCTACCTAGTGGAACTGAAGAGGCGTTGCTGAGACATCCTTGTCCTGTTGAATTTCCAGGGCCAAAAAAAACAGGAACAAGACCACTTTACCTACCCCCGGCATCTCCACAAGGTGTCTAGATGTTTTCGGTTCAGGGATGATCCCAGTGTCAACAATGTCTAAAAGAAAATGTTTTTTAAAGATTCTGATCACGTTGTCGCCTGAAGGAGGGGGGTAGATAGGGATAGTGGGAAGTCTCAACTTACCTGCCTCCGGGAAAAGAGTCAATGTTTGTGCTCCCGAACTAGTAGGAGTGTAGACCAGGGGCACCAGGTAGAGGGGGAGGTAGCCCAAAGCTTTATCTGTTCTAGACAGGGTTTTCGTCGGAGCTGCTAAGGAAAGGGAACGTTTAACCGCTTTTAGACCAGCGGAACGTTCTCTTTTATTGACAGAACTCCTAGGAACGTCCTCTCTCGGACTTCCCTCCTCCTGGAACCGTGATGCCGTTTTGTTAAGATCGATACGAGCGCGCTTGGCGGGAGAGAGTGTTTTTCCCGATAGCTCCGTGTTTGGTTGGAGAGGGAAATTTTTCTTCTGACGAATCTCCTGGCCCTTAGTGGAGAGAGAGTTTTTCTTCTTTTTTCGTACTGAGTTTTTTTGTTTCAGCTCTGTAACTGCCGCCGTGGGATCAAGCTCTTGATCTCCCGTCGGGGAGAAAAATTGTTGTTCAGGCTCATCAATTTCCTCCTCCTGTGCACGAACCTTAGGAGTGGCATGTTCTCCTGTGCCTGGGATCTGGGTCGTTTCATCGAACAGATCAGGCAGGTGCCACCGAGCCTCTAGTACTTCCAAATGAGTTAAAGTGTCTGCATCCTTTCCTGTTTCCGGCGAAGGCTCAGAGAGAGTGGTGTGTGTAGAGTCTTTTTTTACTAAGCATTCGGTCTTCCTCTTCCTCCTTCCCTTCCTCCTCCTCCTCATTAGTCCTCCCATTCCTCTCCTCCATTTGAGTATCCGATTCCCCGTTGTGTACTTTTGTCTTCATACCCTTTTCTGCAACAGGATCTGTCGAGCGTTACTGTTGTCACCAGTTTTGTGGGTGGTGACTGAGGCCTGGCCAACTGTGGCCACGTGGTTTTCCTCCAAGACCATATCCTGAAAACTGTCCGAGTGCGGTGTAGGCGATTGACTACTCTGACTCCTTTCCTGCGAAGGAGGAGATTTCAAAACATCTTTATAAGAAGGCGAACTACCGTTCCCCTGCTCCCGATGAGTTTTAGTCCCCCCTTGGGAAACGCCACCTTCTTCCTCCGTCACCAGATGGTTATTTTGTAAATCTGAACGGTCAGAAACAGGTGGCAGGTTTCCCTTAAGCGAAGCCCAGGCTCTTTTTGCTTCTTGGGATCCTGCGGGGCCGGACCCGTTGCCCCTTCCTTCCTTCGCCAGGCTTGGTTTTATTTACCTGGTCCCTTTTTGCCTTGGGGTTCCCTATTTGGGGGGCCTTTCCCTTTTGCCTTCGGGGGGTTGTTCGGTATCAGCTTAGCTTTCTTCTTCTTATATGGACACTCAACATCCGATTCTTCGTGGAAATATCTTCGACAACGTCCACACCATGGTGTAGAAGCACAGATCACCTCGAGCTCGACAAAACCCCCTTCCTCCATGTCAACTACCAGAAACCTTTTATACCGGGAGCGTGCCAATGATTCCACATCGAATCGAATGTTCAACAACGAGGGTGGTTTTTTATCTTTAAACACAGGATAAGATTTCAGAATTTTTCCATACAGTGCTTCAACTGCACCTTCGAGATGGGGAAGAACCCCGATAGGAACTTGAAGACAACGAATCCAGAAAAACTTAAAACGCATGGATTCTCTCCAATCGTATAACTCCGCCTCCGACATCCATGGCCTGATCGAGAGAGTGTAAGATTTCTGATCCAGCACTACTGTGTCTTATTTTTTCCTTAAGAGCTACGTGGCGATTTCCTTTGCTGAAGCCACGTAGGTAATTAAATTGAAGCCTTCATTCTGGAAGATTCCTTGTTTCGAAGGGGCATTGACATTTCCACTCTTTGCCCAACCGTTCTCATGAATGCGCACGATTCGTTCTTTAACTGATACTGGCAAAGAGTTGGAATCCCCTCCGAAAGCAATAGTAACCGTGTGCTCCGTTAACCAATTTTGCTGGATCCGGTAGACTTCCGGGTTGACCAGGACACGGTCAAAGTCCTCTCCAGATTCTACTAATTGAGGACAAAGTTCTTTTGGGAAGATTCCTTCGTTGTAACAGTTATTAATTAAATTCTGAATTCGTTGTTTCTCGGAACCGGACAGTGAATGGGACGAAGTTGGGATTTCCCCCATCGTGCCTCCAGGTTCAGAACCGGTCAATGCACGAAAAAACAAAATAAATTCTAAGCACTTACTACACTTCAAAGCCAAATTAGACTACTCCAAATTTCCAAAATTAGCTAGGAAGCCTCAAATAAATATAGGGACAACCATCCCCCCCAAGTGAGAGGTGAGGAGTGTTTATACCTGTCTAGTCGCTGATTGCTGGAGAGCGGATCCCAAGCCAGATACCAAGTACGCCATATCGCAGGTAGAACGCCTGTTGGAGCACGGCCTGGGGCTGGCTATAAACGAATGTCAGGAGAGGGGGGACGGGAAAGCTGATAGGCTTCCATGGCTACGAATTAAAGCTCTGTGTCCCCTTTGCATGACATTCGAGCCATGACGGAGAGCCGGAGAGGAGGACGGTCGGTAGTGTTAACCCTAGCCCTAATGATGCTTGGCGTTGATGCTGCGCTGAAGCGCAGCATTAGCGCGTGTGATTAGCGCTAATTTTAGCGCTACCGGCCCCGTCGCCCCGCCTCCGGCCTCCGCAGCCTCCGCAGCCTCTGGCCTCTGATCTCTTTCTCTTTCTCTTGTTGTGACGTCTTCATGGGCGGAACGAGGTGAGATAATAATAATATATGGTTGTCCCCTGAGGGCCAAGTCCCACTAACCGCGTTGAGCTACCTCAACGCCTGAATCTGGACGCTTTTGCGGAGATGTGCAGAAATGGTGTTGACTTTCCTGAACTGCACGTCTCCACAAAAACGTCCAGATTCGGGCGTTGAGGTTCAGCTCAACGCTGCTAGTGGGACTTGGCCCAGGGAAAAGAGCGGGCCACCTTTCAGGGATAATTCTGTTGTTGTCCCGAAATGTAGGGACGTACTATTTTCTTCTCTACTATTTTGTCGCGCTTCTTTCTCTTCCTTGCCCCGGCGAACGCTCTGTCTTCTCTTCGAGGTGATTCGCTTGCGCGGAACTTCTTTGTCGGCGGAACGGAGAAGAGTCTAGTAGTCTTGGGGGCTCCTCGCTACCCAAACTGGCCGTTTTTAGGACGACTGGAACGGTGAGATCGACAGCGAGGAACGATCGAGGTCAAGCCAAGGCAAGGCAAGGGGAGGGAAGGCGGGAAGAGAGAAGGCAAGGAAGGCGCGGGATCGGGTGGCGATCGTCGGTTTCGCCTCGATTTCGCCGCCTTACTCAACACAAGACAGGCGCGAAACTTGTTTGCGGAGGCGGCTTGCGAAGGCAGTGCTTGTCGCGCCGCCACAGGGAGAGAGCGAAGATGATCTACGACGTGACGTCCGCGCTCTTCAGGTCCTTCCTCAGCTCGAAGGGAGGCGGCGCCGATAGTCGAAGGAGAATGGATTCGGCGCCGAGGACGGAAAAATTCAAGCCGAATGAGAACAAGCCTGTGATGACGGAATGATCATGGATGTCAGAAGAGGGGTGGGGTGGAGGGTGGGATGGGTGGGATGGGGGGCGTTCCGCTGGGACAGCGCCATTCTGACCTATGAAAAGAGACGTCCTCTCGAGGACAGGTTTTTTACTGCCTGATGGGTGATGATTGGGCCTCAGCAGCCATGGCTCTGAAGCGGTTGATTGGGCCTCAGCAGCCATGGCTTTGAAGCGGTTGCGGTCGCTGGTGCTTCGATCCAGAGGTCTCATGGAGAGGACGAAGGGGTGGACTTCATTTCCCGCCCAATTGAGGAGAGAATGCAAGTGACTGGGGGAGGAAATGTGTACATGTAGAGAGAGGGGTGGGGTGGGGGATATGTACATCTATGGAGGAGGGTGTGTGTGGGGATGTGTACGTGTCTGAAAGCGTGGAGAGGAGAGAGGGGAGGTGTGTGTGGCAAGTTTCTCGGAGATTCGAGGGAGAGTATGTGGACATCCCCGTGAGAGAGGAAAGGATGGGAAGGAAGGGTTGTGGCGGGAGATGGTATGTTTACGTCAGGGGAAAAAAGGGCGGGAAAGGTGGGTTGTGGCGGGAAGGAAGGATGGGTTGCCATCTCAGGGAGAAAAGGGCGGGAAGGGTGGGTTGTGGCGGGAAAAGGTGTGTTTCCATCTCAGAGGGAGAAAAAAGGTATGCAGGACGGAAGGATAGTGGCGGCGGAAGGGTACCGATAAGTAGGGGTGGATGTGGGTGGGTTGGGTGGGAAAGAGAAGAACAGAACGAACTACAGAGAGAAGGGTAGGAGAGAAAAAGGTGTACATCCTAATGAGAAGAGGAGGGGGGAGCGGGAACTTGCATCTTGGGGATGGAGAAGGGAGGGAGGATGTGTCCAAGGGAGGGAGGATGTGTCCACCTCCGAGAGGAGAGTGGGACACGTCAAGGAAGAGGACGGAGAATATTCATGTCGGTCTTGTTGCCATGCGCGTCTGCATGAAGGCGGGGTGTGCAAATTTATCAGTCGGTATGCGAAGGGATTGTGTAGGGCTGGGTGCTGATGTCAGTGAGTTTTTGATATTGTTCAGTGGATTTTTTTGACGCTGCGCAGTGAATTTTAAATGTTGTTCAGTGAATTTCTAATCCTATGCAAAATAGTAAAAAAGTATGCAGTTCTATATGGAGACCTCTCTATACATGATGATGGTTTCGTCTTTATTTTTTTGGTTTGGTTTCGGCCTTCTTTTTTTTTTTTTTTTTTTTTTTTAGGGTTTCGTCCTTCTTTCGACTGAAGTCGAGTCTCAAATTGATTAGTCAGTTGTTGGTGTGGCGAGGTTGATGAAATAGTTTGCTTGACCTGGTCGGTCTGAAGATTGAGAAATTTTCGATCTACCTGAATTACTTAACATCGGACTGGTAAAACCCCATAGTACGTCCGATTTGGGTTTAGAAAGTTATCCCCTCTTGAGCGAACTTTTGTGTTTTTGTATTTTCTTCATTTTGTGTTTACTAGGGTTCTTAAGGGCATTGGTGTTTTTTCGGCTTTGGTGTTGTCGAGTGGGTGTGTTTAGGCGGGGTTGAAGATGGGAAAAGTGATCTGGTGCTAAATTCTCCGCGCTTGATTCGCTCAACCTGAATTACTTTATCTTGATATTGGACTGGTGAACCTATTGTGCGTTCTATTTCGAACGTGATGCCCTCTTAAGCGAATTGTGTATTTCCCTAGGCCACCAGCCGGGACGCCCGGGTCCCGGGTGGCCAGCCCGTTCAAGGACCAAGGAAGGTTGCCCCCCCCGCAAAAAAAGAAACAAAATCCAAAAAATCCGGAAAAGAAAACGTGATGTAGAAAAATAAACTGAACTTTTGCTCAGGGTCGCATCGAAATTCTTCACCAAATTAAAAAAAAAAAAAAAAAGTATTGTCACAAGATTACATACATTTATTTTTCTTGTTTTTATTTTGTTTGGCCCGGCCGGGCAAGTGACCCCGGGCCACTCTGGTAGCCTAGGTACTTCCTGTATTTTGTTTTGGCGTTTTTAAGGGCATTGGTGTTTTTGGCTTTCGTGTTGGGTCGAGTTATGTTTAGGAGGGTGAAGATGGAGAAAGTGACGTGGCGCTTAGGCTACCCGAGTGGCTCGGGACCACTTGCCCGGCCTGGCCCGTAAAAAAAAAAAAGTTACCAGAGTCGCCCGGCGGGACCACTTGCACGGCCGGGCAAAGTAATAAATTAAAATTTGGTTAGGAATTTCGATGTGACCCTGAAGTAAAAGTTGCTCAGTTTATATTTCTGAGTAACATGTTTTTTTTAGATCGTTTTGATTTTGTTCTTCTTTTGCTGGGACCTTCTTTGGCTCCTGCACGGCCGGGCCACCCGGGCAAACAAGGTGATGCTCGCGGCTCGGCTGGTCGCCTTAAAAAAAATACGTGTTCTTAATTTCGTGTTTATGGTAAGTTTGGTAAAGAACCTAAAAGAATAAAAACAAAATAAAAAAATATCGTTGTGGCCCGATGGACCACGGACCAGATATTAAACTGATCAGAACAGATAACTTCACCTGATCTTAGCCAAAAGCCTGAGAAAGAACTTCGATTTGACCCTGAGGGAAAAGTTGTTCAGTTTATGTTTCTGCATAGTGTCCTCTTTTTTTTTTTTTTTCCTGGTACCTTCCTTGGTTCTCACACGGCCGGGCCGCCCGGGAGAACAAGGTGACCCGGCTGGTAGCCTGGTAGTGTGGCGCTGAATCCTCTGTTTAGGCGGGTGAAGATTTTCCTTTTCTTTTTTTCTTCTTTTTTTTTGTTTTGGGTGAAGATATTGAGAAACTGATGTGGCGCTAAGTTCTCCGCGCTCAAGTCGCTCTTCCTGAATGACTTGAAATCGGAATGGTAATCCTCTTCCGCGTCCGATTAGGGTTTTTCAAATGTTATCCCCTCTTGAGGGAATTCTGTTTATTATTTATTCTTATTATTTTTTAAATTCTGTTTAATTGTACTGCCTGTATTTTGTTTTTGGGGTTTTAAGGGTATTTTGGTGTTTTTGGCCTCGGTGTTGGCCTTAGCGAGGTTTGCCAAGGGCACCAGTACTCTCAGGGAGCCATGGAAAAGGCTATCTGAGAGCCTGGTTTATTGGGCACGGTGTATCAAGAGACTGCTGTGGGAGTATAAGCCTGTGGAAATGTCCTAACTGCCGTCTTTCCCCGAACATAACGCACCCTAAAAATGAATGTATACAAGCTCTACTTCCGGCCAGATACAGCCAAAACGAGGGTGCGTTGTGTTCGGGGGAAGACGGTAGGGACTGTACATTAGTAGTCTTTTATATAGCTTCTTAAAATCTCTGAGAATTATTCTATTACGGTATCTCTCGTCCGCAGATGGAAAAATGCTATATCGTTTTTGTACTTTGCCCTTTTCTCGACGTACTATCTGCGTCTGCTTACGGCCGCTACTGTCTTCACCCGAATAGAACGCCTGGTCGTTATAGCTGCATATGGCACAGCTTTCAGTCCAGATGCATCGATAGTGAGTGGGCGTTTTGTGCGGGTGAAGACGGTAGGGATTGCATTCAAATGCCTGGTGATTAGCAAACTGTTAGTTCGAGATAGCCACAGCCTATGTAGCCTGCTGTGTTGTAGACTGGATTGGAATTGGACCGGTCGAATTTGTTCGGTGGTGTCCTTCGGGACATCCGTTAAAATTGAAACGATGCAGAGAAGGGTAATTTAGCAAATGGCCCCTGCGCAAGGATGACACGCAGAAATCGAGAAATGGTCCAAATTAAAATATAATAAAAAAATAATTTCGTTCGGTGGTTAGTGGTCTGTCTGTATGTAGCCGCTGGCACGCTTTGATGCGTACCCTGGGGTCATCAGTTCATACCCGCGTGGGCGTGAAATGTCTTCGGCGGGAAAGAAATGGAAGTTTGAAGCTTTGCGCAATTCGAATTATTCCACGATTGATGGGGTAGCACTTAACAGATCGGGGGCCAAGTCCCCCTAGATGGTGTGTTGTTGTTGTTGTTGTTGTTTTTTTTTTTTTTTAAATGTGGCCCGATGGACCACAGATCAGATATTAAACTGATCAGAACAGATGCTACACTTGATCTTAGCCAAAAGGCCGAGAAAGGTACAGATGGTGTTTTTCATTTCTGGCCATGGGATCTGTATATTTCCGCCATAATCGGCGGTCAAGAATGAAGAACACACGCCAGTGGGACCTGGCCCCGCTAGCTGACTCGTGTATAGTGCCTGTTGTGTTGTGAATAGCATCGTCTTTGAGATAGTGGTGGATTAGAGTCCAGCCTTGACGCTCGTGCAGGATTTAGTCCTCTATTCAAGTACTAGTAGGCGGGTACTGATCTGGGGGTGGAAATTGTTATCAGGCCTTGAAATAATCTTCGAGAAATATCGGCGCGGCCCGTATCGCCTGTAATTTGAATTTTTGTCTTTTTTTTTGCTCTTGTTTTGTTTTTTTTTTTTCGTTTTTTTGATGCTGCTTAATTTGAATTTTGTAGTACCTGCTTGGATGGTAAAACCTAGGTTTTCCGTATTTCCACGGAAATTCCCAGTCTTCTTTTCTACTGGCAATTACCCGCCTTTTACTTCAGGGGCGAGGTCCCACTAGCAAAGAAAGTGTAGATTGGATAAATGCCCTGAATGTGGACGTGTTTTAAGCAGAGATGCAGAAAGAAGTTCGATCCCGATTTTGTGCACCTTTCCTCGGAAGAGTCCAGATTCAGCGCCTTTCAATCCAATCCCCTCTTTGCAAGTGGGACCTCCTCGCCCCGGGCTATCTGCAGGCGGGAAAAAGTTTTGAACCACCAACGACGCACGCGGCGGGCAAATTTCAAATTGTCGTGACCCAAAAATGCTGGCTCGAGTCCTTGCGCAAGGATGACACGTTTACATCGAGAAATGGTCCAAATTAAAAATAATAAATAAATAAATAAAATAAAATAAAATAAAAAGAATGCTGGCCCGTAACTGATTACTGGGTAGGAGGACGACAACGCCGCACGGAGACTCTACCCTTTTCCCCCGAACGCAACGCACCCGTATTTTGGCAGTATTGGGCCGGAAATATAGCTTGTATGCATTCATTTTTAAGGGTGCGTTATACTCTTCTTCGAGCGGAAGACGGTAGGCATAGTTAGGCGATCTGTATTTACCGTAATTTGAGGGCAAGGCCGTCGCGGTCGTCATTGCTCAGTGTGGCTGGACAAGTAGGTGGGTGTCTTAAAGGCGGATCCGGGGAAAAGGCCCCTGAGACTTAGTGCTACAGCTAGGTGCGCTTCCTGGGTGGAACGTGCGTGTAGGGCAATGAGCGCGTTTCTTCTGAGCTCACAGGTAGGTGCGCTAACTGGGTGAAACGTGCGTAGGGCAATGAGCGCGTTTCTTCTGAGCTCAGTGCATTATGCGGTTGATGAGCATTGAAATTTTCTGTCGAAGCATGCACGAAGGACAGTCTCTGGCCTCTGTTTATCCCTATTCGGTAGAGTATGGAATTTTCTCTCGAGTGTATGTTTTGGTGTCGGTTGGGGTTCTTCACGAAGGACAGTCTTTGGTTGTTTTGGCAATGTGGGCAGACTACCATCTTTCCACGAACACAACGCGCCCTCAGTTTTACTGTATCGGGCCGGAAACATACCTTGTATACGTTCGTTTTGAGAGTGCGTTATGTTCGGCGGAAGACGGTAGCGAATGGTTAAGACAAGGACAAGAACATCGACGGGTTGTCACTTAGTTTTTGTGGCTACCTTCCTCTTCCCCCGATACTGCAGCCTGCTTTTTCCTGTCTGCTTCTCTCTCTCACTGGGGGGGGGGGGGAGAGGGGGAGGGAGGAAGAGTTGTGTGTGGTCCCTGCTCACACGATACCGCAGCCAGCTTTTTCCAGTCTCCTCTTCTCTCTTTCTCTCTCTCCGTGTGGCGCGTTAGGTGTCTTGATTACTGGTGTCTTGATTACTTTTTTTCGTTCTTTCTCTCTCGTTCTCACGTTGACCTAATTGCATTTTTCTTTCTTTCTAGCTTGTCTATCACTCGACAGCTCTCTCTCTTTCTTGTTCTCGAGGTTCCACCTCTCTCTCACCATTTCACTCTCGTTCTCTCAGTTTCTCACGCACGCCGTTCCTCCCCTCTTCATCCTCCCCTTGGATGCTTTCTCTCCTCCTTCTCCTAACCACCACCCTCTACGCTTCGCAATGTCGATTTCTTGTCCTTTGTTTTGGTCCTTGATTTCTTGTTCCTCCCCCTAATTACACCTTTCTCTACCCTTTGCTATGTCGTTTTCTTGTCTTTTATTTATTTTGTTACCTGATTTGTCGCTTTTGCTTTTTTTAAAAATCTAACCTGTTTATTATGCAAGCGAATGTGGTCCAGATTCGCATTTGCTAAAGACGCGCTTCGACTAAGTATCAGCCCACTTTTCAACACAACGTTTCCTTGTGCTGTTCCTTTCTTTTTTTTTTTTTTTTTTATGTGCTGTTCCTATTTCGATTTGATTGTTGTAGATCGAATACACAAGAAGAAAATAAAATTGCGCTCAGAGATTCTACCGGACCACCATCAATCCGGTGTTCACATCTGTCGTGGTCTTGCTTTGTCGCTCCAGTTTCCAACA